TACCCCCACTCGCACCACCATTTCAGCCGTTGGTGGAGCGTCAGCCGGCATATGCCGACATGCCACTACAATTTTTATATCTCCACGGGATCGAATCAAACCGGAGTTTCAGGCCCTCGCCTTTATCCTCCCATCCCTCACTAAGTACGCTCCGCGACGGGAACAAGCAGTTCCGGATTGGATCCTGGACAAACTGTGCCTAGCGGATAACAATCCTACCGGAGCACGTCCGATCGATGTTATTATCGGCGCGGACATTTACAGCGATATCATACAGAGCGGAGTCCGTAAGGGGCTCAAAGGTCAACCGATTGCTCAACAGTCTCATCTCGGTTGGCTCATTTCGGGACCAACAACAAACCGACCGTCTACGCGTCATGAAATTCGCGCCTTTCATTGCTCTCTAGAACGGGAGATTCGAAAATTCTGGGAGGTTGAGGAGCCCCCCCGTGTCTCAGCGCGCTCTCCGCTCGATCAACAATGCGAAATGCATTTTCAGCAGACTCACACGCGCACTGAAGACGGACGATATACCGTTCGCCTTCCATTCAAGTCTAAATCTCCGATCGAGATAGGCCACTCGAGGTCGATAGCCTTGCACCGATTGACCTCTCTCAAACGGAGACTCGATTCGTGCCCTGAAGTCAAAAAAGAATATTCCGATTTCCTTGCCGAATACGAGTCCTTACGCCACATGACGCGAGTTGAGCCAACGTCCGCGACAAATTCACTCGCTGTTTACATCCCCCACCATCCCGTTATTCGAACGTCTAGTGCCACGACTCGCCTAAGGGTCGTATTCGACGCCTCAAGTTCCACCTCCAACGAAACATCTCTCAACTCACATCTCCATGCAGGTCCGAAGCTACAGACAGACTTGCCGGCTGTCTGTCCGCTCCTAATTCGCTGGCGTACACCACGCTACGTATACAGCGCGGACATCGCCAAGATGTACCGACAAATTTGGGTAGATCCCCGCGATCGCGACTTCCAAAGAATCGTTTGGAGGCCTAATGAGAGTGCCGACATTCTCGACTACCAACTTAATACAGTAACGTACGGAATGGTCTCCGCTCCATATCTCGCGCTCCGCGTTCTTAAACAGCTCGCAACGGATGAAGGCGAGCCATTTCCTATCGCTGTTTCGATTCTTAGGGATAATATTTACGTCGACGACGTTCTATTCGGTGCTCACACCATTTCGCAAATTCAAACAGCTCGCAAACAACTTTGCGAGCTTCTGTCTCGCGGAGGATTTACATTGCGAAAATGGGCGAGCAATCGGGCGGAGTTACTCTCCGATATTCCGTCTGAGGACCACGGTTTAGCGTGTCACCGTGATCTTCAGTTGGACGAAAACGTCAAGATTCTAGGTATAACTTGGACTCCAGCGCTTGACGCTTTCCAATTTCGCGTAGACTTAGTTCTCGAAATCCCGCAAACAAAGCGGCAAGTTCTGTCCGCTATAGCCAAACTCTTTGATCCACTCGGATGGGCGTCCCCCACCACAGTCCTCGCCAAAATATTCATGCAACATCTGTGGACGCTGCGTCTGTCGTGGGATGATGTTTTACCGCCAGGCGAGCGTAACCGATGGGAAACAATATACTCCTCGCTTAGTCACTTAAATCTAATATCCCTGCCGCGGTGGATCGGTCACGGGATCAAGGACATTCGTTACGAGCTTCACGGCTTCGCCGATGCGTCCACCAGAGCTTACGCAGCGTGTGTCTATTCGCGCACTGTATCGCCTTCTGGCGAGATTACCGTTACGCTCCTGGCAGGCAAATCGCGAGTCGCTCCGCTCAAAACCATGAGCGTGCCGCGCTTGGAGCTCTCCGCAGCTCTGCTATTGACGCAATTAGCTGTCTTCATCAAAGAAGCGCTCAATCTGAGTCCGATTCCATGTTTCTGCTGGACGGACTCCACCGTCACTTTAACGTGGATTCGAGCTCACCCGTCTAAGTGGAAAACCTTTGTAGCGAATCGTGTTTCCGAAATTCAATCACTTCTCCCGCAAGCGGAGTGGCGGCATGTGTCAACCGTTGACAATCCCGCGGACTGTGCCTCGCGGGGCATCCTCGGCTCGGAGCTCCCGTCATTCGATCTCTGGTGGCACGGCCCTCCGTGGCTCCGACGAGAATCAACCACGTGGCCCTCGATTCGCGACTTGACATCCACCGAAGCTAACGAGGACGCGCGCGGTGCAACAGTTCATAACACGAGGACTCAGGATCCGTGGGATTTAGCGACTCGATTTTCGAGTTGGACTCGACTGCTCCGAGTCACCTCCTATGTTTTTTGTTTCGTGTCACGCTGTCGGCCGAAAACTGCTTCTCCGATTAACAAAGAATCAGCTCTTACTTCCCTGTCAGCGGGCGAGTGTCATCGCGCGACATTATTTTGGATTAGAGTCATCCAAGCCGATACGCTTTCTGACGAAATACAAGCAATTCGAAAACACCAACCGGTATCGATACGAAGTCCCGTCGCAAAGCTAAACCCGTTTCTCGATTCAGATCAAATCCTCAGAGTCGGAGGGCGCTTGAATTACGCTCCTCTTCCGACGACTCACAAACATCCCGCATTATTAGCGAAGCATCCCGTCACTACGCTTTTAGTCCGATACGCTCACATACGATCAATGCACGCCGGGGTACAATTAACATTAGCCACCCTCCGACAAAGGTACTGGGTTCTTCGAGCGCGCGCGATAGTCAAAGGCGTTATTCACGAGTGCGTCCCGTGTACGCGGGAAAGAGCAGCTATCCCGAAGCAACTTATGGGGCCCCTGCCACCCGCTCGAGTCACGGCGCCCCCTAAAGCATTTAGCCATTGCGGCGTAGATTATGCCGGCCCCGTTCAAACTCGAACCGCACCCGGCCGTGGAATCAAATCCCGAAAAGGCTACATCGCTCTTTTCATTTGTCTCGCGTCCCGAGCAATTCACCTGGAGCTCGTCAGCGATTACTCGACTCAGGCTTTTCTTCTCGCATTTACTAGATTCTGTTCGCGGCGCGGACTGCCGTGCACGATGTATTCCGACAACGGAACGACATTTGCCGGCGCCGACAAAGAGTTACGTAACGCCTATCAAGCCGCGCTATCGGATAATGACTTCCAAAATCGCACCGCTTCTGACGGCATTCTCTGGAAGTTTATTCCGCCGCACGCGCCTCATTTCGGTGGTTTGTGGGAGTCGAGCGTGCGAAGCGTCAAGCATCATATTCGACGCGTTCTCGGATCTCACTTCCTCACCTTCGAAGAGTTCACAACCTTGCTCTCCCGAATCGAAGCTTGTTTAAATTCCCGGCCCTTGGAGCCGCTTACGGACACGCTCGATGATTTCGAGCCACTTACTCCAGGCCATTTCTTAATCGGCTCGGCGATCACGATGCCGCCCGAGCCCTCGCTGTTGCACATCAACGAGAATCGACTCTCTCGATGGCAACTAATTCGGCAGATAACAGAAACTTTCTGGCAATTATGGCAATCAGATTATGTTAATACGCTCCAACAGCGAAGTAAATGGTGCCGCGAGAAAGAGGGAGTCAAGGTAGGCGCGATGGTGCTCCTCAGAAATCCGTGCAAGTGGGAACTCGGACGCGTAACCCGGTGTCATCCGGGCCCTGACGGTTTGGTACGCGTGGTTTCCGTCAAAACCGCACAATCGGAGTTCAAGCGACCAATCGTTAAATTATGCGTTTTACCGTTCGCCGAACCCTCCGCACAAACCGAGCAACCAAACAAGACGACATCCCAGGAGATTCCGTTGCGCCAGTAAACCGCGTATAAGCGGTCCCCTGTTAAGTAGAGTCGCGTGCGTTGTATCACGTGTAACATCGTTCGGTCTAATGCGAAGACCATAACTCTCTACAAGATATCGATCAAACATGTGACAACACACTCACTGCGAGTGTTTTCTCTTCATAGTTTCAGGGTTCAAAAGGAAAGGGTTAGACGATCCGCCACTCATCGTCGTGTCGCATCGCCCGTACTCATTGTCAGTTCCTTTCGAAACTAATGTTTCGAGGCGCGCGGTATGTGCGAGATTTGTCGTGGCGAATAACTCATCGAATGTAAGCGATAATTGTCGTGGCAAATAGCCCAAGAAATAGGCACGATACTTGGCGTGGCGAAGAACCAACCGACCCGATAAATACAAATCGATGTCAACATCGGCGAGGTGACGGGCAAATAATCACGTCCGACCAGCTCATCGTCACTTCGGATTTACCGAATACAAACGCGCGGTTCGCGGAAAAACAAATACCCTCGACATTAGGACCGTATGAGAGCGACGACAAATAAAGATTTAAACCGAAGTTCAGTTGCTAGTGAGAAAGCAATAAGAGAGCACGATTAACGGAATCAGTCCAGAGTCACGTATAGCAGATCGCTCCGAGATTCGTGATCGCGAACTACAATTTCGCATCGCGATTCTGGCATCTCGCTCTCATACGGTCTTAAGAGTCCGGTTGACTGCCTTCGCGCGTCCGTGCTTGACCGCGAAACGAGCGCAGCTCAACTGCAAATCGTTTCCGAAAGTGCTGCTCTCGTCTACCCCGTGCGGGTACGAGATTAATCAAGAGCGTTATAATATCTCAGTGTAATTTGTCAATAAATTTACTGTGTTGTTAACGGTTCGCAAACCTGCCCGTCACGTTTGTCCTGGGTGTTTTCGGAGCACCAGTCGGAGCTCGGTCCGGCGATACATATAAAGTCAAAGAGCGTTGCTCTCCGGCCGTCGCCTGCGAACCTCGCTCAGAAGGCAACCGGAATCGCGCACAGTAACACATATAAAAAAAACTCCAAAATTAGTAGAAAAATAATGTTTATGTGAACAAAAATCAGTCATCATTAGACTATTACAATAAGGCACAAATATTTAAGCTTTATAGCGTAGAAAAGAAAAAACATAGTAAATGTGATTAGTCGGTATACAAAACAGCATAATCAATTTTATATACAAGTCATTTGACATACAAAACAAAATAATCAATTTTATATACTAGTTTGATAAACGTGAGTACGGTTGTAATGTTATAACCTACCACAGAGACAATGTTTCAACCGTCCTTTTAGTGTCTCTCGATATTATTTAATTTTTATTAAAAAAATGGATAACGATAGCGAAACGAACCTTTTATATATTCATTCTCTAATGTCCAATTATTGTTAGAAAAGATGCGCATATGTGTAGGATTCATAATAAAAGAAGGAAATGAAAAATAGTTTACGATCTAGTACTTACGTTTTATCGCAAAAACATAACAATTCCTCCTGACGCACACAGCACGCACGCTGCGACGTGGACAACTAGCGAGCAAGTTAGTACATGTCGTCAGCCCCCCTAACCTCTTGGGTGAGGTGCGCCATCGTGAACGTTTGTCGAGTTATTTGCAATGTTACAACCGACCTCCCGTTACAACTGTACCCAGTCTACCCTACTATTATATAATATTTCGTAAAATTTGCAATAGTTATCGAGTAATTCTATAAAACATTTGAGCGAATAGGCACGAGGAAAGCGGTAGGTCGGACTCGATAGGCATCTGATAGTGAGAAGTGAAGCGATGCGTGGCATATAGCACGGCGCCGAAAAATTGTCAGGCAGCGAGCGATTGTTTACGCGTCTCATCGTTTGAGACTGAGACTGAGAGATCGCCGCTCGCTGCTTGATAATTTTTTCCGGCGCGGTATTATATGTCAAGCATTGTTCCATCTCTCGCTTTACATGCCTATAGAGTCCAGTTTTTCTCGCGCTTATTCGTTTAGACGTTTAAATTAATTACTCGATAACTATTCCGAACAAAATGGTACATTTGAGTTCAACTTTTCAATTGAAGCCGCTCTATCTGTATACGAGCAGATGGATACCTAATCCATAACACTCTGTAATATATTTTTTGTGTCGGACAAGAGTTGCGTTCGGCATTGCAAATCTGGGACGCCGGAGTGCTCTCTTGAGTGAACGAGAGAAGAACCTTGTGTCCACGATGTTAGATTTCGGTCCGAGTCCTCAGTCCGAGAAATAGTGTAGCCAATCAGCTTACCAATTTATGGAAAAACGGCAATTGTATTAACTATACGGTTCTCGGACTGAGATCTCGATCCGAGGTCTGTCACAAGGGTTATATTTACATTTTACAAAACATACGTACGTCACCAATCACGCACACTCACAATCAGTTACACAGTCTTTTGCCGCGCTAGTGACACTTGAGAAGATATCATAATCAGTCCCTAATGCGACAAATGTATTAACCTGCAATCACGAGACACGTTATTAAATCGGTACAAGGGTTAGGTTCAGTCTATTTACGTGCGCTCGGTAAGTAAGTCGGTAACTTCAGGGGGAACAACAGGGTGACGGCCGAAAATATTGCTCAAGTTCAGGATTTTTTTTCTCCGTACTGCCATGTAGTAGACAAATGGGGTTTGCTGCAATGAATAAAATACACATTGAAGTGTTTTTTGGGATTTTTTATTGAAAAATATTAATAACTTCATGACGTAATTTGCATTTTTCCGATCCAGTCAGAAATGTTTGGTTGATATGACGTCGAATCAACGTCGAAATCTGAAAGTCGATATCTTGATCGATTCGACGTCGAAAGCGTATAAAATATCAACTACTACTACTATTCGACTATTATTTTGACGTCGATTTAAGGTCAATTCAACGTCGATATAAAGTCGAAATTCGGTTGAAATAATATATATACAACCGGAAATGATTGGTCGATTTGACGTTGATCGACGTCGAATCGATGTCGATACGACCAATCATTTCCTGCTGAAAATGCTTTATATTTCTTTTTGGTAAAAATATTTTAACAGTTCAATCATGTTTTTTATATATTTATATTTATTAAATGTTTTTGTACATTTAATATTTAATATAATAACATTTAATATAAATCGAGGTACGACTTTTGTTGCAAATGTATTAAATAAACTTCAAATGTCTTAAACAAACTTAAAAGTTAAGTTTTTAGTGCTTGTATTCGAGTAGTTTAACCCATTAGTGCATAGTGTCCATTTAAACGGACGCACACTAAGTTGGCGCCGAAAAAAAATTAAAATTAAAATTAAAATTAAAATTAAAATTTGTTTTGCAATAACTTCATGAACTAATGGTTAAAAGTCCTAATTAATGTAGCGAGCGAGCGAGTGAGTACCCTGGTAGCACAAAATATTGGCGCAACCCAGATAGCTATAACGAACTTGATAAAAAAATCGACATCTCAAAATAAAAAAAATGTGCGAAATAGAAATTTGCACATTGCTTCCTCATCATTGAAGCGTGC